TTCTTTTGTTCCCCTAATCAAGTATATTCCTAGGAAAATACTTCATAAATGTGCATAAATTGATTCTTCGGATTTTGTTAATGAAAATTAAACTCGTGTATCTTAACGAGAGAGTTGCCTAATTATAACATTTGCAAATCACAATGGTATTTAGGGACTTCAATAAATTTGGAGTTTTTCAAGCATTAATGCCCTAATCCATGTAGTCGTGTTACTCGTGTAAGCATGGCACAATCGGAATCTTCAGGTGGTTTGGCAGGCAAAATCTGAAGGTGCTAATACATAGATAAAGGATCTATGATTCAGGAACTGATGCCATATTCTTGGTTCCATTATGCAATTTACACTCCCACAAAACCCGGCCTAAAGTCTGGTTACAATAATTCTACTCCTGGGCTTATCTTATTGTCTCAGAGATTGTATCACTAAGATGCCAAATGCAATCAATCCAAGAAAGGCTAGACACATAATTGTCAATTTGACAGTACAGATCTTTATCAGCAGTATCCCACTGCAGCAGATGTGTGCATCAGATTTGATTTATTATTCGCGGTTCTACTTGATTAAACACCAATAGGTGCTGACTGAGTGGCTTGAATCAAATTTTATTTTTCAAGGACTTTAAAGCAAAGCTAAGAATATCTAAAACCACAGAATTACATGTTTCCTAGACTGCATGAATATAAAGCCCCAACATACATATACCTCCTTTGTTTCATAACATGAGGCATTTTACCTATTCAGTAAAATTTATGCTTCACTTGGTACACTTTTTGGTGTTTTAAGTTTTGGTTCCTATGGTCAAAATGTTACTCAGACTCGAAAACCCATGTCTAACATGAGTTGAGTACATGTCTAGGTGTCTGACACAGCTATTTTGTGATAATTTTTCATGATTTTGGCCTAGATAGAAGTGTCTAAGTGCCCTATGCATGTCTAACTGTCTTATATATGTCTGAGTGTCAAGGATCCGACACAGGTACTTGTGAAATAAACGGCAATAGTACCATTCAAATTGTAAAGGCCGACTAAAAATTACTCCACCATAGTTTATCATCGTGTTTTGGTAGTTTAGACTAAAATTTACCTATTACGCACACAAATTAATAACCACCAACATGTAATTTAACTAAACACCTATGTACCGTATTTGTGCTACTAATGTAAAGAATTGTATAAGTAAAGCTATCACTAATGAAGCAAGACATATGAACCAACAGCGGATTGACAAATAATAAAACAATATTTAAAATTGCATTGGTTATTATAAATTAACATATACTCCATGGTTAAAAATTAAAGGGGTGCTTTACATGTGTAATGTTCATGTTAAAAATACTGAAAAAGTTTGATTAGGAAATGTTACCCATTAAATTGAAGGATATATTCTTGCCAATGTCTTGGTTGCAGAAGAATCCTAAATTGACAATGATGTAACCTGAAACAAGAACAGTCATATCAACGATTTGCATAATTTACAATAATAAAATTAAAGTTAGGAGCTTGGAAAGAATAATGGTAATACCATTGATGGCTTAGATTTGATATTGAAGCTTGATGATTCATTCGCTGTCTCTTTGAAAATTTGACAAGTCCCTCCACACCAAACACGGCTTTTCCCTCCATTAATTCAAATTAGGGAAGAAAGTTGGCTGGTTGGGTAACTTCAATTTTAGGTTTACCTTTCATAAAACGAATACTACCTCCATTAGATTAAACTGAATTGAAATGAACTAAAATGAATTGTTTATAGGGTATCCATGATTTGGATTAAAATCGAAATCGGATCCGAACCTTAAATCGAATAGGCTTGGATTGAGATTTAACCATTTAAGTAAATCATTATTAACCTATGCCTATGTAACTGTGATATGCATTTACTATCATTGTAATAATCATTCCCTAGATGTCTTGTATTATTCCCTAGATACTTTGTATATATACTGTACCATGAAATGGAAGGAGGCAGGGAACATATTCCTACATGGTATCAGATTAGGTTTAGCACCTTTTGTCTTTTCATCTCCCTCTCTCTCTCCTTCCTCTACTCTGCCTTTTCTCTGTTTTTCCATTCATTCCTTCTGCCCCCTTTCTACCGTGGCGACCGAGCAGCCCAAAGCTTCCCCTTTTCACCCTGCAATGGCAGTCAATAACATTAAAAGTCTCATTCCAATCACATTGGAGATGAAAAATGTTCTTTACTCCTCCTGGGCTGAATTATTCAAAATTCAAGCACGTGCTCACGACCTCCTCCACCACATTATCCCACCTGCTGAACTCGAAGAACCAGCGGACAAGGCTCTCTGGACTCGTCTTGATGCAATCGTGCTCCAATGGATATATGGGACTATATCCAACGAACTCCTTCAAACAATTTTAGAACCGAACTCCACTGCTCAACAAGCGTGGGAGCGCCTTCGCGACATATTTCAAGACAACAAAACCTCTAGAGCGGGTCAGTTGGAAAGTGTTTTCTCCTCCATTTATATGAAGGATTACCCCAACATCTCAACCTACTGTCAGCACGTAAAGTCAATTGTCGACCAACTTGGGAATGTTGGTGCGCCGGTGAACGAACACCGCCTCGTCCTCACATTAATTCGTGGTCTTCCCAAATCTTACGATGGTGTTGCTTCCATTTTGCAACAAACCGAACCTTTACCCTCCTTCTACAAAGCCCGTTCGATGTTAACTCTTGAAGAGTCACGCCTCTCAACTCAGGCAGCCAGCGAAGCCATTGCCGCGGGGTCAACCCTTATAGCCTCCGGGAATGACTCTACTCACTATCACCAGGATAATTCCCCATCACATGACCACAATTCCCGCCCCAACACCCACAACAGCAACAAAGGAAACAGGGGCGACGGACGGCGGCCGAAACCGCGGCGGCGGAGGTCGCGGCCGTGGTAGAAACCACCACAACAACAATCGTGGCGGATATCAGTCTCACAATAGCCAAAACTGGCAGTCCTAGGCTCCGTGGCAACAATGCCCTCCCTAGGTTCAGTGGGGGTCGCAGCAGTGGACGGCGCCACCTTGCCCGTATCCCACCACTCCGTGGTCCAGGAACACCGGGCCCCGTCAGCAGGGCATCCTTGGCCCACGACCTCAGCAACCCCAACAGGCATACTCTGTTCAAGCTCCTTCCACCGCAAACTACGCCCCTACCGACATCGACGCAGCTTTACACACTCTCTCCCTCACACCGCCGGACGAAGGGTGGTATATGGACACCGGCGCCACCTCCCACATGACATCTCAGTCATGTACTCTCTCGTCTTACTTTAATTTGAGCAATTCTCGCAATATTATTGTTGGTAATGGGCATGCTATTCCAATTCGAGGCATCGGTTGCACATCCCTTCCTTCCCCCACCTTCCCTTCTCTTCAAATGGTGTTCTTTATGCCCCAAAGCTTATTAAAAATCTGATTTCCGTATGGAAATTCACTTGTGATAATTGGGTTTCAATTGAGTTTGACTCGTTTGGTTTTTCTGTAAAGGACCTCACGACGGGAACAACTCGTATGCGATGTGATAGCTCCGGAGACCTCTACCCCATATCCACCGCCACCTCCCTATCCTCCTCACTGTCCACCTTCGCTGCTTTATCCCCTTCCCTTTGGCACGCAAGACTCGGGCATCCTGGCACAAATATTTTACAGTCTCTTGCTAGGCAAAATTTTTTTGATTGTAAAAGAAATTTGAACTCTTCAATTTGTGTTTCATGTCCCCTTGGCAAACTTTCTACTACTTGTATGCCATTTGATATAGTCCACAGTGACCTTTGGACATCCCCTAAAATGAGTTCTGCGGACCATCTTTATTATGCGTTGTTCTTGGATGATTTCAGTAATTTTTTATGGACTTATCCTATATGCAAAAAATCTCAAGTTCACTTATACTTTCTCCAATTTCGTGCTTATGCTAAAACTCAATTTGAAAAAAGAAATCAAGTGTTTTCAATGTGATAATGGGAAAGAATATGACAATGGCCCTTTTCGTATTTTTTGTGAGCAAAATGGTATGGTTTTCCGCTTCTCATGTCCCCAAACCTCCTCTCAAAATGGTAAGGCGGAAGAAAAATCCGTACTATCAACAACATGATCCGTACTCTCCTTGCTCACTCTTCTATGCCTCCCTCGTTTTGGCACCACGCACTCACAATGGCTAATTACCTTCACAATATCCTCCCTTCTAAAACAATCGGCCTCAATTCTCCCACCAAAATCCTATATCACAAAGACCCGTCATACTCTCATCTCAAAGTCTTTGGGTGCCTATGCTATCCTCTCTTCCCATCCACATCAATAAAAAAACTTCAAGCTCGCTCCACTCCGTGTGTATTCTTAGGACGAAACATCGGGGTTACAAATGTTACGATATGTCAAGCAACAAAATTTTCATCTCAAGGCACGTGGTTTTTTACGAAACACAATTTCCTTTTGCTAAATTCCACACACCTACTGCCCACACATACGAATTTCTGGACAGTGGAATCTCCCCTTCTTTTGTCCACCATCTCACTAATCTCTCATCTCCCGATCCAGCCCAAAACACTACCCCTCCTACTCCAACGGCCCACCATACTCCTCCCTCTCATAAGGCCCACACAACTCCAACCTCTCAAGCCCGTAACTCTCCTATCTCCAGCAGCCCAGCTACACGGGCCTCTTCTTCTGCCCAACATACCGAGGCCCAACACACCACCCCTAACCCATCCCTTTTGGATCAGCCCAGAAATGAAATTCCTAACTCTCAAGTGCAGCACCCTCCCCCTTCTCCTCAAATGAGAACCCGCAGCTCACATGGAATATATCAACCAAAAACACCATTCAACCTACACACCTCCACTTCTCCATCACCTCTTCCACGCAACCTCATAGCGGCTCTCTCGGACCCGAATTGAAAAGATGTTATGCTTGACGAATTTAATGATCTAATTAAATCTAAGACTTGGGAGTTGGTGGCCCGACCATCTAATGTCAACATTATTCCATGTATGTGGCTTTATCGCCACAAGAAAAATGCTAACGGTGATTTTGAGAGGCACAAAGCCCGTCTTATTATTAATGGCAGGAATCAACAGGTTGGCGTGGATTGTGATGAAACATTTAGCCCGGTAGTGAAACCGGCTACCATCCGCACCGCACTTAGCATTGCCCTCTCCAAGTCTTGGCCGATACACCAAATGGATGTCAAAAAATGCATTCTTGATTGGAGATCTTGAGGAAACCGTCTATGTGAATCAACCCCCGGGTCTTCGTGATATGAACCGACCTTCTCATGTGTGCCTCCTCAAAAAGGCATTATACGGTCTCAAGCAAGCTCCCCGGGCTTGGTATCGTCGGTTTGCAAATTTTGTGTCTACTATTGGTTTTGTTCACAGCAATTCAGATCACTCACTTTTCATCTACTCCCACGGCAAGGAAATTGCCTACATATTGCTCTAGGTCGTCGATATCATTCTCACCTCCTCCTCCAAATCTCTTCTGCTATCTATCATGAGTAAGTTACAATCCGAATTTGCAATTAAAGATCTCGGCCTCTTGAACTCATTTCTTGGGATTTCAGTTACTCATCACTCAAGTGGGCTATTTTTATCTCAAAAATCCTATGCCGAGGATATCATCGCAAGAGAAAACATGTCCTTTTGCAAACCGTCAAGCACTCCGATTGACTCCAAGGCCAAACTAAGTGCGACCTCCGGCCCACCCGTAGCTGACCCGACTCTATATCGAAGCCTTGCCGGAGCATTGCAGTACCTCATGTTTACACGGCCTGATATTTCATACGTCGTGCAACAAATATGCTTGTTTATGCACGACCCCCGTTAAGAACATATGCAAGCTCTACGGCGTATCCTTCGCTACCTTCAAGGCACTCTTAAGCTTGGTCTACACCTTTATCCTTCTTCCATTTCGTCACTCATCTCCTACACAGACGCGGACTGGGGTGGCTGCCCAGACACGCGCCGCGACTTCCGGCTACTGCGTATTTCTCGGTGACAATCTGATTTCATGGTCTGCCAAATGGCAGCCCACTCTCTTGCGTTCTAGTGCTGAAGCCGAATACAGGGGAATGGCCAATGTAGTGGCCGAATCCTGTTGGTTACGTAATCTCCTCCTCGAGCTCCGTCGTCCCATACATAAAGCCACGGTGGTTTACTGTGATAATGTGAGCGCTGTGTATCTCTCGGGAAATCCGGTTCAACATCAACAAACCAAACACATAGAAATGGACATCCACTTCGTTAGGGAAAAGGTTAGCAAAGGCCAGGTTCGTGTACTTCACGTCCCCTCAGGATACCAAATCGCCGACATCTTCACAAAGGGGCTCCCACAAATCCTATTCGAAGACTTCCGTTCCAGTTTAAGCGTCCGATTACCTCCCGCTCGAACTGAGGCGGTGTATTAGCCTATGCCTATGTAACTGTGATGATGCATTTACTATCATTGTAATAATCATTCCCTAGATGTCTTGTATTATTCCCTAGATACTTTGTATATATACTGTACCATGAAATAGAAGGAGGCAGGGAACATATTCCTACAATCATCAACTATGTTATTAATATGTAAAAAAAAATTATATAAGTGCAAACCACAAGGTTTAATTAAATAAATAAAAAGTACATATACAGTTTTAAAAAACTTTTAGCATATTTCCATTAGAAATTACACATTTAAAATATAATCAAACTCATTACAAGTTCAAAGGTCATCCAAGGGATTAAAGTTACCTTTAAATTAATCGTCTTATAATAAAATTAACGTGAATATAACAAGTCCACTTATACATGATTTATTTTTCACAATTGGTCTTGTATGGACCCGGTCTACAATAAATTATTGTAGACCCAAAATTTGACACTTTCAAATAATATAATCACATTCTGGATGATATAATCACTTTTTTAGACGATATAATTATCTTTTTGTGAGTCATATTTTGAATTATATAATCTCATATTAAACCATTTAATGAGATTATATAATTATCTTTAGGATGATAAAATTTAAAAATCATATTTTGAATGATGTAATTTACTATTTGATACTTTTTATAATGATAAATTCACTTTTTAAGTGATACATTTACATAACAGTTTCAGGATGATATAATCACTTTTGTAGTAATATAATCACATTTCGTATATAATCACATTCGTATGGTATACTAGAAGGTTGGGTCTACAATAAGTTATTGTAGACCGGGTCTATTCTAGTCTTTACCTATTTTTTAATACTTGTAACACATAAAAATTATTTTGTTGTAACTAATAAGAAACAAGGGTAGTAAAAAATTAAAACAAATATTGGGGTTGCCCTTTTGCTTCACGCCTTCACCAATTTTTTTTTAAAGAAAAATCACGGAGTATCGAGAAGATAAACCTTTGGCAAAAATTAATCCAAAACAGTATCCAAGCCGCTCCCCTCTTCTCTCTAGCTAATTCCTTGTAAGTTGTAACTTTGGGTTGTCATATCATTAATTTCCAAATTATATTATTTAAATAATAATAATAATAATAATAAAAGAAATAAATGCCCAAAAAAAAAAAAAAAGAAATCACAACTACTTATTCATTTAAAATGGACACCACATGTGTTTGGGGCCTTTGGGCGAGGTGAAATTATAAAGCTAAGTAGTTTCACCAAAGCTATAACCCTTGTAGCTCCATAATGGTGAGCTACTAGCTCCAATTATTTAAAGGAAAATTTAACAAGAATAATCCAGTTGAATTCTCCCAAAATAATCCAACCTTTCGATTAACCCTGAATAATCCTAAGTTTACTACTTATTTTCTTCCAACAACCCTAGCAGGTCACCTTACCCTTTGTAACAGGTTACCTTCCAAGTGGAATTTTCTTATTGGTCAATTTTTAAAAAAAATTTAATTTTTTTAATTGAAATTAAAAAAAAAAAATCTCTCTTCCCCATCCTGCTTGTTTTTCACTCCTTTTCCTTTCCTCCATTATCAGCCACCAAAACCACTTATCACAATACACGGGGCCACCACCTGAACACCACCAACATCACCACTCAACACAACAACCAACCCACAACAATGCAAACAACACACACAACTAACATCTTCGATGTACGACCACCCCCAATTCAACATCAAATTCAATTGATAAAGAGGGAAGAGAAGGAATATGGTGGAGGTTGGGGTTTGGGTTTTGGGTTGGTGGAGTTGGGGTTTCGCCGTTTCGGGGCATGGGTGAAGATGGGTTGGTGGTTTCGGGGTATGGATGAGGCCGTGGGGTGGGATTGGTGGTTTTGGCTAGGTGAGGTTGGTGGTTTCGAATCTGGGTAAGAGTGGGGTGTGGGGTAAGTGGTTGTGGTGGTGGATGGCTGAGTTGCAGGCAGATTATAAGGGGGTGGCACGAAGCAAGATGATTGTCAGGGAGAGGAAAAGGTAGTGAGCTGGTTGATGGGGAAATAGGGTAGGTTGATGGTGAGGTGAGGTGGTGGCGGGAAGTTTCAGGGAGGTGAAGGAGCCATTATTAATGGCTAGAAGGTTGAAATGGAGTTGAGGAGGGAAAAAGGAAGAAGGGGAAAAAATTAAGGGGGAAATTTTTTTTTTTTTAAAAAAAAAAGAGTTACTTGAAGTTTAGGTAACTGGTCATATAGGCTTGATATAAGATAATAAGTAGTAAAATTAGGATTATTCAGGATTAATCAAAAGGTTGGATTATGTTGGACTTAATGATTTTGATGATGACACAACCTCACTTACTTACAAACTAATAAGTGCTTGATTGTTTAAGTGTGTACTCAGTTGCAAAGACCAGGAGAATTAAGTGTCTTGTAAAAATACCATGAGGAAAAAGAAGGCCAGAAGCAGAGCTATCCATAAAGAAGAGTTCTTTTACAGGAACTGGTGCTTCAGAAATGAAGACTTGAGAAGAGAAGGTTCCACTCAGGGAACAGAAGGTTCAGAGAAGAAGCTTCATCAGAGAAGAGAAGTTCCTTCCAAGAAACAGAAGCCTAAGAGTAGAAGCTTCATCAGAAACCATGAAGACTAAATATTTTTATATTTTAGAATTTGTGTAAGTATGAGATATTAAGTTGCACTCAAAAATTCTGTGTGGAATTGGTCTTAGGAGAAAATATTGTGCATGCTAGAAACTAGGAAAATGGTTAAAGTATTAAACGTCTATCTTTTCTAAACTAAAAAGATTTTATTTTGTTTTCTGATTTTTGAAAATATCTTGTGCAAAAGGATTTTATTTATTTTCCTATTTTCGAAAATATCTTTTGTAAAATAAAATCATCATGTTTTCCTTATCTTGCGGCCTACTCCCCATGTTCTTATTCAAGGCATGGCTGTGCACATTAAGGAGTTCATGGTTCCTTAATTTAAGGGACATGATCTTCTTAGTGGGTTGGAGTAGTGGTGTATTGGTGTTGCTGCACAAAGATGATTTTCCAAGGCGTTTTGAAATCTATAAATAGCTATTGATTTCTGTTGGAAAATCTCCCCCTTGCTCACATAAGTTTTCTAACTTTTAATTCGAGTCAAGTGTCAATTCCACACAAGTTCATTAGAGTGTTCTTAATTTTCTTATACTAGAGTTTGTTTTTCTTTCGAGTTGTAATTTTGGAGAATGGGGAAGTTCGAGTGAACTTTTGTGTATGAGAAAGAGAAGTGAGAAAGAGAAGAGAAAGATAAGAGAGAACAGAGAAGTGAGAAGAGAGAAAGAGAAGAGAAGAGTAACAAGTTGGGTGACTTGTACCTCGGGGTTTCAAGTTTGTAGAAGAACTTGAGTTTGAGTCTTTAGTTTTTAATAGGACCATTTGCTCTATTCTAGTGAAGATTCTTTTCCCAAAATTCCAAGTGGTCGTGGTTTTTCTCCTTGTTAGGGTCAAGGAGTTTTCCACGTAAAAATCTCTCTTGCATTCTTTAGTTCCTTTAGTTAATCTTTCTGTTCCTTTAGCTTACTTAGTTTTAATTCCGCAAAAAGTTTGGCTAAACTCTCATACTACAATTCAACCCCCCCTTCTTGTAGTATTCTTTGAAACAACAGATTATTATAGGAGAATGGGGCAAAGGTTGGATTATTAGTGTTAAATTTTCCTTATTTAAAAATTACAAGCAATTACTCATTTACAATCATTGTGGATTTGTGGATTATCTCTCTTCTCTCTCCTTTGTGATTTGCAACTTAGAAAGATGTGACTACATCAAAGGTTATTTTTTTTTTTTTTTTTTTGGTGTTGTTTAGAGAGCCACAAAAGCAGGGTGAAAATCGATCCTAGATCATCTAAAATATGGAGGAAAACTGTACTCACTTGAGCTATCCCTCACTCTCAAATAGTTATTGTTTAGATTGTAAATTTTATATTATTTTCTCTAAATATTTGGTTTACAAATGTGTAAGATTATTATAGAAGAAAATACTGGTTAATATGCAATATGAACAAGACTCGTTTATATGAGGGCACACCAGTCATTTCCACTTTTTTAGTAAGGGCAAAATTGTAAACATGCGGGTAGAATCTCTAACGTTTAAAACAGGGTTAACTCCTCGTTTGTTTACAGTCCTGTTCCATAACTATTTTCCGTTGCTAAACCAATTGGTGTTTCGTTCTCCTGAATGGTCTGGCTCTCCTCCAAAAGATACTGCAGGTGGAGAGCATGTTCTTTATAATTCCACTGAGTCTCATATCGAATTGAAGTTACCCTTAATTTTCTATGTCGATCTAAATTGGTGTCTGTGTTTTCAAACTACAGAGGCGGCGGTACATAGTCGTTTCTTTAATTTACGACATTATTTACAGTTTTTCGGGTTGATTCTTCCCATTATTGTTGTTGTAAATTGGATTTGTTTACAATTAAATAATTTATTGATTGATTGGTAATGTCATGTGATAGAGTATGTTGGACATAATGATATACACAACCTCACTTACTTACAAACTAATAAGTGCTTGATTGTTTAAGTGTGTACTCAGTTACAAAGACTAGGAGAATTAAGTGTCTTGTAAAAATACCATGAGGAACAAGAAGGCCAGAAGCAGAGCCATCCATATAGAAGAGTTCCCTCACAGGAACTGGCGCTTCAGAAATGAAGACTTGAGAAGAGAAGGTTCCCTCAGGGAACAAAAGCTTCAGAGAAGAAGCCTCATCAGAGAAGAGAAGTTCCTCCCAAGGAACAGAAGCCTCGGAGTAGAATCTTCATCAGAGACATGAAGGCTAAAATATATTTTATATTCTAGGATTTATGTAAGTATAAGATATTAAATTGCACTCGAAAAAGCTCTGTGGAATTGGTCTTAAAAGATAAAACTGTGCATGCTAGAAATTAGGAAATTGGTTAAGTTGTTACATGATTATCCTTTCTTAACTTAAAGATTTTATTTATTTTCTGAATTTCGAAAATATCTTTTTGTAGGGAATGGATTTCAAG